TTTCAATGGTTATCAGATAAAGAAGATTCCAGATTCAATTGGAGATTTGAAGCTTTTGTGCTATATTAATTTATCTTGGACTGAAATCCAAAGTCTACCTGATTCTGTGAGTTTTCTTGTATACTTGCAGACATTGATATTAAGATATTGTCGGATGCTTACTCAATTGCCAGAGGGTATCGTGAATTTAGTTGACTTGCTTCATCTTGATATTACTGATACAGTGAGTTTAAAGGAGTTACCATCAAGAATTGGCGGGCTGACAAATCTTTTGACTCTGCCCAAATTTGTTATTGGAGGTGAGCTGAGACTAGGAGAGTTGAAAAACTTGAAGCAACTTCAAGGCGATCTACTCATCTCAAATCTACATAAAGTCTCAGATTTTCGAGATGCTAGTGAAGCCAACCTTCATGAGATTGAGGGCCTTGATAATTTAATCTTGCAATGGACTGATGATTTCCAAACTTCACGAAATGTAAGCAATGAAGATAAGGTACTCTGTCAGTTGAAACCTCATTGCAATTTGAAGAGGTTTACAATTGCGTTCTTTGGTGGATTGGAATTTCCATCTTGGATAGGTGATCCATCATTCTCCAAATTGGAGTACCTGGTACTATGTGGTTGTCAAAACATCACTTTATTACCACCCCTTGGGCAATTACCATTACTAAAAGAATTGATCATAAGAGGCATGCCTGAGTTTACTGGAGATAACTCCTTTTCTGGTAGTTTTTCATCACTAGAGAAGCTGACATTGGAGGACTGTCCCAAGTTGATTGGAAAATTACTTAGCCACCTTCCTTTTCTCAAAATTCTCATGATTAGAAATTGTCCTCAATTAAGTTATTCACTACTGAGTCTCCCATCACTTGGAAAGTTGGAAATAACAGGTTGTAATGAGGTAGTTCTTAGGAACATGATGGATGTCACTTGCCTCACCTCTTTGATGATTAAGAGAATTCCAAAGCTTGCTTGCTTGCCTAAAAGCATAACACAGTTCTTGACAGCTGTTGAAATAGTAGACATTAAAGAATGTGATGAAATTACTTGCTTGTGGGAGGACGAAGCCAACCTTGCCAGTCTTAAGTGTCTGAGGATTCAGAAGTGCCATCTACTTGATTGCCTGCCTAATGGATTGCATGCTCTCACTTGCCTTAAGGAATTGTCCATACAAAAGTGCAAAAAATTTGTGCGCTTTCCAGTAACTGGCTTGCCATTACAGCTCAAAAAGCTTCAGCTTGAGGATTTGGTGGTTTTGGAGTCATTGCCTGATGGATTGATGAAAATTGGGGATGGAGGCAACAATATGCTACAAGTTGAAGAATTAGTCATTAAAGGATGTAAGCAGCTCAAATCTTTTCCCAGAGACAAGTTACCCAGCACTCTGAAAAGGTTGGAAATCCAAAATTGTGAAAATTTAAACTCCTTACCAGAGGGAGTGAATCTTGAACATTTGAAGATTGACAGTCTCCCATCTCTGAAGTGTTTTCCTAGTTCCAAATTACCAAGTGCTCTTAAGAGGCTGGAAATTAAGGAGTGCAAGCAATTGGAGTCACTTCCAGACAGGTTGCTGCAGGATTGTACACAACTTGAAGAGATGCGGATTGAGTTTGTGGAAAATCTCAGAAGCTTACCTATTGATTTCATGCACAACCTCAGCAGTCTTGTTGAATTAGAGTTAAATTCTTGTGAAGGTTTAGAGTCCTTGCCAGAAATCGACCCGTCGTCTGTCCCCAATCTTAAAACTTTGGAGATTTACAATTTGAAGAATCTCAAGTCTTTACCCAATGAGATGTGCAACCTCACATCCATTCGACATTTAATCATAAAGGATTGTCCAGGTATTGCATCCATACCAGAAAGAGGTTTTCCTTTAAACCTCAAAACACTTGAAATCAATGGTGAAGGCTTGAGGCAGTCAATGTTAGAGTGGGGCCTCGACAGGCTTACCTCACTTGAATCATTTGAAATTGGGGACATATGTCCTCCGGATAACTTGCAGCTTCCGAAGTCTCTAAAAAGTCTTACTATAATAAGGATGAGTAATTTGAAATCCATACCAAAAGACCTCCTTCAAAACCTCCATTCTCTCGAGAATTTATGTTTTTATTTATGCCCACAGCTTCAATCCTTCCCTAAGGAAGGCCTACCCACCTCACTTCAAAGGTTCGTGGTCCTTGGCTGTCCTCTTCTGAAAGAACGGTGCTTGGAGGAGAAAGGAGACTATTGGCCTCTCATAGCCAACATCCCTTACGTTATGCTTTAAGACTAAATTGGAGTCAGGTACCAGTAACCTATTGATAAATTCACCATATTCTTGAAAAAATCATATTTTGTTTGTTTTTGGTGTAATTTATATGTCAATTTGGTGCAGGTCTTGCAGTTGGTATGGAGTTTTCTGTCATGCCTCAATCTTAACCTATTCATGATCCATTTGTTTGCAAAAACAAATTTGTATTTTGAGAAAAGATGTTTGACATGGATTCTACCATATTCTAGTACATCTATTGAAGAGTAACTTGGATAATTTAGCTTTTTGACATGTGGGGTTGGCCGTTGGTGCTGTGAGGGGTATGTTCTCCATCCAAACCAATTGAAATACCATCTATTCTAATTAGCTAGCTGATTGCTTCTTATCTTTGTTATACAAAGTTAATTTCACATCAATGAAGAGGATGATGCATTCCCTTGATTGATATATATATATATATATAAGCTATTGATTTTGGTTTCCTTTTTTTCCCTTTCTTTCCATGATATACATCCAGCATTTGAAGATGAAAAGTCTGAAGATACCTAAAAGCTGAATTTGTTGTGAAACTGCTTCTGTAGATGTTGGAAACCAAAGGCAGGACATGTGGCACAATGATGAGCTTTGGTTATTAAGTTAATGGTAAAGAACTAGGGTGGTCTTGAATACAAACATTACTTTGTACTCTCATTATAACATGACCCACAAATTCTTAAGTATATATATGCTTAGAGTGTGTGTGATCAGTAACATGTATCCTCCGTTGAACAAATTAGTAGAGGTTTCACCTTCAAATAATGTTCGAGTGATTCTGTTGAAGTGGTTTCATATGGTCATATTTTCATGTGTGAAAGAATTTATGGTTAGAGAGTAAATGGTGTTTTTGTTTAGACATTATATACCAATGATAGTCAAATTTCTATCTTAATGTTGGATTCAAGAGCATCACATCGATGTTTTGAGCTTTATTTACATAAGCATTTTAGTTACTTCAGTAATGTGATTTTAATTATCTGTTTGTGAAAAGGTACATGCCAAGTACATGTCATCATCAGCTTTGGATCATTACATTCTGCATTTGATTTAATCATATTTATACACACCTTCCATGTTAAAAAAATGTTAATAATGTCACCAAGGGTGGGTAGATGTATAAAGTATATAGGAAACATATTCTGTTTGCAAAATCACATCTATTAGTTTTTGTTTTTTTCTTATTGCCATAGAAGTCAATCCTCGCCTGGAAATGCACTCAGGTTGAAGAAAGCTTATTTTTAAGGTTAATATCATGAATTTCTGCATTGCATTAGGGTATGCAGTGAAACTTAGTCCAAGCGCTAACTAGAAAGATTCGCAAGATGGGTAGGTTTCTGATTCCTTTTGAACCAATTTATGCCCAATTGATGAAGTCATATTTTTAGTTCAACGACAGGCAAGAACGATATTGATCTAAAGATTAGTTGGAGAAATTTTGATTTCCTTTAGACATGTGAAGGGAAAGCTCTTCTCTGCTCCTTTCCTAGAGGAAATAAAGGTATTTGGAAAGAAAATTAGTAGCTGGGATCTTGGGAAGTTAAGCTAACTCGGTTCGGAAAGTTCCAGCAACTCATTTGTTGAGCCTTCTATCTCCACATCTGACATTTATGAAAAGGCTCATGAGAATGACATACAATGCATAAGCAAACTACAAACCGATCAATTCATTTGGCATAGACTTGTGATTAACCGTGGCTTATCATTGTCTTCAATTCATTGTTTTATCACTTTTGCTGGCCACTTTGTTTTCAATGAATAGAAACAGTTTCTTGATTGGGGGCTCTTGGTCTTCCGGAGACAATTGTACTAGAGATTGCTACATTGCCTAAGGTTGAATTGCTACCATTGCCTATAATTCCAACTTTGCCAAAACCTGAAGTACCAGAGGTGCTAAAGCCCAAAGTCCCTAAACTGCCAAAGATAACCAAAACCTCAAGTGCCTGAGCTACCAAAGCTTGAACTCCCTAAGTTACCTAAGTTGCCAAAACTAGAATTGCCCAAGCTACGTGAGATTTCAAAGTCAAAAGGTGCTTGAGCTACCAAAACTTGAAGTGCTTGAGAAGGATTACATAAAAAGAGGGATTACATTGACCTTCTTCACTGCATCTGCTATTCATGGGAAACCGAGGAAAAAAAAAGGGTCTGCCAGGCGTAGTAATGGGCTGCAAAATTGGTTCATTATTATTAACTCCATAGTCCACTCTCCTCCAACCAAAAATAATAATAAAAAATCTGGCATTGCCCAATAGGCCCAAATCCCCCTACATAGGCTAACAAGCCCAAAAACTCTTTTAGAATTAAGCTGTAGCTTTCCTTATCTGCTTCCTCTTCGTTTATCTCTTCCCTCAATTCACTCACTCTTGGCTTCAACGGCGGACATAGCAGTTCCGATCTCTTCCCTTACAAAATCCCCACTTTGTCCCCATCATTTCTCCCAATCCCCTCATGTGTCCTTGCCACGCAGGCTCAGACCTCTCCCCAAAGGACTCGGCAATGCAACCTTAACCGCCAAAGCCCAGAGTTTTGGTTTCTTCCAAGGCGGCGGGTTCGGATCGGACGATGATCCGCCTTCTCCTCCGCCTTCACGGACTGGGGGCGGGACGGGCTTAGTTGCCTTAGAAAATAAAGAGGAGCCCCAGTGCCCTTCGGGACTGTGACAGTACGAAACTATGGCAGTTTTGAGACCAAAGACTCACCCTTACACAAAAGTAGGAGGAGGTAATGCTATTATTACTCGCCCCCCTACTTTCTTTTTCTTTTTATATTTCATGAAATTTAGACTACATATATATAGTGGAGATGGAGTTAAGCCTTGGGAGGGTCAGGGCAGGATGGTGTAATGTAATGCTAGTATTCAACTTCATTGATTTTGTTATTTTGTTTCAAATTTCAGTTATATTGGAAGATAAACTGTAAGATAAACTTGGCCAACGCTGTTCAAATTGGCATATACCATAGGCATAAAGGAAGGTTGCAAATTAAGTTGAAATTTGTACCTAACTGCATTTCAAAACAAAAAGGGGGGACATTAAATTTTAGTTAAATTAAACTAATTGCTCCCCCATTTTTTTTGGACCCGTTGAGCAATGTAAATTTGTTGAATTGCTTGTTCAAACCATAGAGGCTTTGTCTGTTAAACATTGTAATGCAATTCTGTTG